TGGTAGGATTTTTGGGATCGCTTGTGTAATCTCTCATATCATCAGCAAACAGTGAGAGTTTGACTTCTTTTCTGAATTGCATCCCCTTGATCTCCTTTTGGTGTCTTAATGCTATACTTAGGACCTCAAGAACTATATTGAATATATATAGAGTGGATAACCTTGTCTTATGCCTGATTTTAGTGGGACTGCTAGGGGTTTCTCTCCATTTAGTTTGATGTTGGCTTTTGACTTGTTGTATATTGCCTTTATTATGTTTAGGTATGTTCTTTGTATCCCTGCTCTCTCCAAGACTTATATCATGAGGGGATGCTGTATTTTGTCGAAAGCTTTTTTGAAATCTAATAAGATGATCATGTGTTTTTTTTTTCAGTTTGTTTTTATGGTGGATTACATTGAAAATTTTTCATATGTTGAATCATCCCTGCATCTCTGGGATGAATCCAACTTAATCATGGTGGATGATGGTCCTGATCTTTTCTTGGATTCGATTTGCCAGTATTTTAGGTAGCACTTTTGAATCAATGTTCATGAGTGAGAATGGTGTGTAATTCTCTTTCTTAGTAATGTCTTTGGTTTAGTGATGGTTTGGGTATTAGGGTAATTGTATCCTCATAAAGAGTTTGACAATGTTCCTTCTGTTTCTATTGTGTGGAATAATTTGAGGAGTATTGGTATTAGTTCTTCTTTGAAAATATTGTGAAATTTTGAGCTGACACCTGGTTCTGGGCTTTTTTTTATTAGGAGACTCTTGATCACTGTTTCTCTTTCTTCATCAGTTATAGTTCTGTTTAATTTTCTTATCTGGTCTTGATTTAATTCTGGTAATTGATATTTATCCAGAAAGCTGTCCATTTCTTATCAGTTTTCCAATTTTGTGAAGTACAGGTTTTCGAAATATGACCTGATGATTTTCTTTATTTCCTCCGTCTCTGTTGTTATGTCCCTCTTTTATTTATAATTTTGTTAATTTGAATATTCTCTCTGCCTTTTGGTTAGTTTGAATAATGGTTTATCTCTTTTGTTGACTTCAGCTCTCAATTTGATTATTTCCTGCTTTCTAGTTCTCTTGGGTGAATTTGCTTCTTTTTGTTCCAAAGTTTTCAAATGTTCTGTTAATTCACTAGGGTGGGATTTTTCCAGCTTCTTTATGTAGGTATTTAGTGCTATGAACTTTCCTCTTAACACTATTTTCATTCTGTCCCATAAGTTTGGGTATATTGTGTGGTCATTTTCAGTTAATTTTAGGAAGTCTTTAATTTCTCCATTTATTTCTTCTTTGACCCATTGATGATTCATGTGAGCATTGTTTAATTTCCATGTGTTTGTGAACTTTTTGAAAATAGTATTGCTATTGAATTCTAGTTTAAAACCATGGTGATACATGGGGTTATTCCAATTTTTTTTTGTATTTGTTGAGGTTTGTTTTGTTACTAAGTATGTGGTCAATTTTTGAGAAGGTCCCATGAGGTGCTGAGAAGAAGGTATTTTCTTTTCTGTTTGGATGGAATATTCTATAGATGTCTTTTAAGTCCATTTGAGTCATAACATCTGTTAGTTCTCTTATTTTTCTGTTCATTTTTTTGTCTGACTTATCTGAATGTGGAGTATTGAAGTCTCTCAATGTTAGTGTGTGGGGTTCAACATATGATTTAACCTTTAGAGGTGTTTCCTTTACATATGAGGGTGCTTTGTATTTGGGCATACATGTTCAGTATTGAGATTTCCTCTTGATAGATTTTTTTCCTGTGACTAATACGAAATGACCTTCTTTGTCTCTTTATATTGATAGATTTAGTTTGAAGTCTATTTTTTTTTAGATATTAGGATAACTACACCAGCTTGTTTCTTGGGTTCATTTGATTGGAATATTATTTCCCAACTCTTTACTCTGAGATTATATCTGTCTTTGAGGTTGAGTTGTGTTTCTGGTATGCAGCAGAAGGATGGATTCTGTTTTTGTATCCAGTCTGTTAGCCTGTGCATTTTTATAGGTAAGTTGAGTCCATTTATATTAAGGTATATTAATAACCAGTGTTAGCTATCTCTTGTTAATTTGGTTTTCATTGTTCGTGATGTTAATTTGTGCATTTTCCATTCTTTTGGATTTGTTGCTATGAGACCATCAATTCTCTGTGTTTTTGTTAATGTATCCAACTTCCTTGGGCTACAGTTTTCCTTTTAGTATTTTGTGTAGGGCTGGGTTTGTGGCTAGGTATTAGTTAAATATGTCATTGTCTTGGAATATCTTGCTTTGTTCTTCTATGGTGATTAACAATGTTGCTGGGTATAGTAGTCTAGGCTGGCATCCGTGATCTCATAATATTTGCATAATGCTTGACCACGAACTTCTGGCTTCCATTGTCTCCAATGAGAAGTCATGTGTAATTCTGATAGGTCTGCCTTTATATGATACTTGCACTTTTTCCTTTGCAGCTCTTAATATTCTTTCTTTTTTCTGTATGTTTAGTGTTTTGATTATTATGTGGCAAGTGGACTTTTTTTGATCTAGTCTGTTTGGTATTTTGTAAGCTTCTTGTATTTTATTAGTATATCTTTCTTTAGGTTAGGAAAGTTTTCTTCTATGATTTTGTTAAATATATTTTCTGTGGATTTCAGTTGAGTTCCCCTCCTTCTTCTATGTTAGGGGAAGGGACCCATTTGCTTTTTCCTGGCCTCCCGGCTATCTTACATCCGAAATAACCACGCAGAAATTGTACTAATTAAAATATTGCTTTGCCATTAGCTCTAACTTCTTATTGGCTAATTCTTACATCTTAATTTAACCCATTTCTATTAATCTGTTTGTCGCCACGTGCCAATGGCTTACCAGCAAGATTCTAACCTGTGTGCGTCTCAGGCGGGAGGATCCATAGACTCTCTCACTCTGTCCTTCTTCCCAGCATTCAGTTCCATCTTCTCTGCCTTCCTAAGTTCTGCTCTATAAGGCACAAAGTTTCTTTATTCATTAACCAATGAAAGCAACACATGAACAGAAGAACCCCCTACACCACTTCTATACCTTTTATTCTTAGGTTTGGCCTTTTCATGGTACCTCATATTTTCTGCATTTTTTGGCTTAAGCTTTTGTTAGATTTAATGCTTTCTTAGACTGATGAATCTATTTCCTCTATTGTATCTTCAGCACTTGAGATTCTCTCTTTTATCTCTTATATTCTGATGTTAATGCTTGCATTTATGGTTTCTGATAGTTTTCTCATGATTTCTCTTTCTATAATTCCCTAGACTTGTGTTTTCTTTATTGTCTCTATTTCAGTTTTCAAGTCTTGAATAATTTCTTTCATATGTTTGATTGCTTTTTCTTGGTTTTCTTTAAGAAATTTACTGATGTCTTCCAATTTTTTTGTTTGTCTTTTCCTCTATTTCTTTGATGGAATTTTGTTGACTGAGTTTTTCTGTCATTCCCAGTTCTTGCAATCATTAAGTCTTAAAGAAATCACACAGAAGTCCACAGTAGTTATAAACTGATTGGCCTAGTCATCTCAGGCTTCTTATTAACTCTTATAATTTATTTTAGCCCTTTATTCTAGTATATGTTAGCCACATGGCTCAGTACCTTTTTCATCAAGCCAGTCATATTTGCTTCCTCTGTGGCTGGGTAAAGGCCTGCACCCTCTTTCCAGAATTCTCCTGTTCTCCTTGATCCACCTCTAGTTCCTGTCTGGTTGTCCTGCCTATACTTCCTGCCTGGCTACTCGCCAATCAGTATTTATTTAAAATATAATTGACAGGATACAAACCATTATCCCACAACAGAATTTTCATTTCCCCCTTAAGAGGTATAAAAATTATCCTGAAGTCATTTTTCAGGTCATTATTTTTTCTGCTTCATCTATATTTGGTTGTTCAAGACTTGTTGTTGTAGGGTCCTTAGGTTTTTCTGGTGTCATGTTTCCCTTGTGTTGTTGTTTCTTTTTTCTTACTTTTTCGACTCATCTTTTCCTCTAATAGGTGTGGTTAGGGATGCCTGTAATTCTGTTATTTAATCTTCTAGGTCCCAGTGAATCCAAGGCTCAGATGGTTATTTCTCATGGTATATTCAGTGTCATGGTTCTATTTATCCCATTGGTCATTCCGTGTTCCTGGAGGTCGCTCAGAACTCCTGGGCTTTGCTCTACACCCTAGGAGTTTTCTGTCTCAGGCCTACTGTAGCCTAGGTTATTTGCTCAGACTTGTTTCTGTAAATGTCCCTGATCTGGATCCATTCCTGTAGAGGTCAATGGCTTGGGGGTTGGTCCTGTAATGGACACTGGCTCTGATCTATTCCCTTGGAGTTCCCAGGCTTGGGTGCACCTAGCCTGGGAGAAGATCTGGCTCAGGCTTACTCCCTTGGAGGTCCAAGACTCAATTTAAGACCCACAGAGGTTTCTGGTTCCTGCCTATTCCTTTTGATGTCCCAGATCAACGCCCAGACCCAGAGAGGTCCTGAACCAGGCCTACTCTCTCTGAAGTCCCAGACTCATGACTGGATCTACAGAGATCTTTGATTCCTGCCTACTCCCTTGGAGGTCCTAGATTCACATCCAGACCTGTAGCGGTCTCTTGCTCTGGCTTATTTGCTTAGCAGTTGCTCCCCTGTACCTGTTCCTGTGGAAGTTTGCTATCTCAGGCCTGCTCTGGCCCAGTTTGCTGGCTCAATCCTGGCTCACAAATGGTCCTGGACTGAATCTGCTCCTGTTCACATGGAGCTTGCTTTCTTAGTCTAGGTAGCTGGTTCAGTCTTGTTCCCTTGAAACTCACTGCCTCAGGCCTTTTCTGGCCTAAGTCATTTCCCAGTCCTGCTTCCACATATGACCCTGGTCTGTATTTGCTTTTACTCTCATGGAGTTCACTGTCTGAGTTCTGCTCTCATATTATTTCTCTTAAAACAAAACAAACCAACCCCCCCACAAAAAAATCAATGAATGAATCAATCATACAAACAAAGAACAGGTGATGAAAGGAGACAGAGACAGAGGTCCACGTTGGAGCACCGGACTGAAATCTCAAGGTCCAAATCAGGAGCAGAAGGAGAAAGAACACGAGCAAGGAACTTAGGACCGCGAGGGGTGCACCCACACACTGAGACAATGGGGATGTTCTAAAAAGCCTGGGATTAAACTGGACTCACTGAACATAGAGGACAATGAGGACTACTGAGAACTCAAGAACAATGGCAATGGGTTTTTGATCCTACTGCACGTACTGGCTTTGTGGGAGCCTAGGCAGTTTGGATGCTCACCGTACTAGACCTGGATGGAGGTGGGTGGTCCTTGGACTTCCCACTGGGCTGACGAGGGAGGGGGACTTGATTGGGGGAGGGGGAGGGAAAGGGGAGGTGGTGGTGGGGAAGAGACAGAAATCTTTAATAAATAAATAAATAAATAAATAAATAAATAAATAATAAAAAAAGACAATACCAAAGCTAAAAAAGAAACATGGAGTTCATTTTGTGTTGACCAACTTACTCCTGTGCATGGGGACTGCCTTGGTAGATAGTGTATATACCCAGGGAAGCTCCATTGGAGAAAATAGATTTTCCCAGGAGCTATCTATTTTAAATAGCTTCTTGGTGGGGTTAGGACTTTGTGTCTACCTCCAATTCTCAGTGCTTGGATTTTATTTAGCAGGCTTTGTATAGGTCTTATGTTTGTTATAATATTCTCCCTGAATCTCTGTGTGTATTAGTCCTGTTACAACTGGAAGAAACTGTCTCTTTGCAGTCATCCATCACTTCTGGCTCTTTTCTCTTACTCTTTCATACAGATCTCTGAGCTCTGAGGGGAAGGCCTTGATGAAGACATGCTGTTTAGGGTGGAGTGCTCCAAAGTCTCTCATTCTCTGTCTTTGTTTAACTGTGGGTCTTTGTGTTAATTACCACCTATTGGAAGAAAAAGTTTCTCTGGTGAGTCTAGAGTGATGTACTGTCCTATGGGAATAACAATATATCAATGGGAGTCATTTTATTGCTATATGTGGCTCTCCCTCCTCCTCAGAGATTAGTCATTAGTCTGTGAGGGAGGAGGGAGCAGAATCAGGACACAGGGTTCAGACAATTGTGAGCATGAATGGAAATTGCCTTCAGGGACACTGCTTCAGTGTTATAGCTGAACTTTATTCCAGAGTGAGGAGAAATATATAGGATGGGCAGAGCAGCAGGGGCATCACCTAATTTGCATTTGGCAGGATAGTCTAATCATACAGCTGGGAGCACAAAACCTAATTATCACATAGGAGAGCATCTGTGGGGATTTGTATCAAAGGTCATGCTTGAGATAGGTCAGGTATCCAGGCTTAAGGACAGCTTCCAGATAAGGTCAGGTGTCCAGGCCTAAAGACACTATCCAGGTAGGGACTCCTGGAAAGGGAGGACTCCATTTTTCACCAATCTCAGGGAGCTGTCCGGACATGGTTGATTAAAGGTGTGTGAAACCAATGACTTACTGACCTCTAGAGGATTTATTTTGCCTCTGGTCTTTATGCAAAATTTATTTATCAAAATACAAATAATGTACCACTACAGTTTACCACTTTGCCCACCATTTATGGTGCATTAAGTGATAGTTCATGGCAGCTATTATGCATGAAGAACTTCCAGGTCTGAGTTTAAAGAGAATCTGAAAACCTTTATTATCACATCACATATTAAAATATTAAATACAGAGGCCTGGGGAGATGGAAAGCAAAGTGCTTTCCACCCAAGCATGAGGACCTGAGTTTGCATTGTCAGAAACCATGTAAAACTAACCCTGTAGCATGTGTCTGTGAGCCCAGTGTTCCTATAGCAAGATGAATTATGGAGGGAGACAGGAGGATCCCCAAAGTTCATGGGTGAGGGTAGCCTGGCTATGCCGCTGAGATTGACAAGAGAGGGACTGACGAGAGACATTGTTTCAAAAAAGACATAAGGCAAGAAGAAATACTGGTGTGCATGTGTGTGCAAGCACATACATACAGACACACACACACAGAGTGAGAGAGGGAGAAAGAGGGTGAGGGAGAGAGAGAGAGAGAGAGAGAGAGAGAGAGAGAGAGAGAGAGAGAGAGAGAGAGAGAGAAAGAGAGTAGAGGAAGTGTATATAATGCTTAAATTCTAATTACTACATACGAAAGCATGCAGTCTACTGGAAAGATGCTATACAATGCAGGTTCTAATATTTATAATAATAGAAATTCTGTCAGAAAACAGTCTTATTTTTGTATATTTGTCAAAGCTGTTTTATTTATATTTTTTATTTGTTTGTTGTTGATGTTGTTTAATGTAATTTCTATCCTCGTCCAAAAGGCTTTATTGTCAGCCTAGGATCGGGACTTTAGCCTGGGTCTCAAATATCTTCCCACCAGGTGGCGTTCAAACTTCACTTAAAGTCTTCTTTAAAATTAGTTTATAAATAATGCCATTCAAAATTTCCACTTCCTCCTCTTCTCCCACTTCCTTCTCCCTCCCCTTCCCCACAATGCCCCCTCCCCCTCCAGTCCAAAGAGAGGGCAGGGTACCCTGCCCTGTGGGAAATCCAAGACCCTCGCTTTTCCATCCAGGCATAGGAAGGTATGCATCCAAATAGACTAGGATCCTAAAAAGCTAATACATGCAGTAGAGAAAAATCCCAGTGGCATTATCATTGGCTTCTCAGTCTGCCCCAATTGTCACCCCCATTCAGAGAGTCCAGTTTGATCCCATGCTCATTTAGTTCCAGTCCTGCACACTGTCTCAGTGGGTGGACCAACTCCTCCTGGTCATGATTTCCTTGCTCATATTCTCCCTCCTTTTGCTGTTCAACTTATTGTCAACAAGAGATCTCTCTTGTTAAATCTAATATTTATAGTATTTGCTTTATATTTCTCCTGAAGTTTATGCTTTTTCTTCTAAACCTGTCATATTCAGAGCAGTATGTTGTTGTTGTTTTAAATAATATGTCTTAAGACCTTTAGTTGTTCTGGGGAGGAATTTACAACAAGGAGAAAGTCTGTGCACAATTTTTTAAACACACTATGATTCATTCAGAGGTTTATTTCTGTCTGAACCTGTTTTTATTGCATATCTGTATTAATTTTCTGACCAGGAATGTTTTTAAAATGGTAAAAAGTTTGTTCACAATGGCTTGGATGGTGACTCTGTCTCTTTTGGCTTTTTAATATAGCAGAGGTACATTTACTGCCAGCTCTGTGAGCCATGTTCACTGCCTCTGGACCAGGGACATACTTGAAGTAACTAATAACACACTAACCTCAAATCCCATTTAAGGGCAGGACCTCACAAAAGAGCCAGAGTTACTGCTGCCAGCATGATCCAGGAATCTGTCTCTCAAAGAAGTTGCACAGTTTTGCAGCTAATGTTGAGTCAGAAAGGCTTATCTTAATGGAGTCATGCATCTGCTCACCACCAGCAAACAGAGCCTATCTGAAAAAATGTCACTACCAAGAAGCTGGATGTGGCTTCTGTTTATGTGGTTCTAGAAGCCCCCACTTTTTTTTTCTTAAGCTTTTCTAGGTCTTACAAGCATCCATTCTCTATGTTGGGTGCCATTTTGTAAATGGAGTTTCTCTTTTTTTCCTGACTACCTGGACCAAACTAACCACAAAAAAACTATATTAATTACAACATTGTTTGGCCTATTAGCTTAGAATTCTTATTAACTAACTCTTACATGTTAATTAACCCATTTCTTTTAATCTGTGTATCACTACAAGGCTATGGCTTACCGGAAAGTTTCTATTGGCACCTCCTCCTCCTGCCACTACATGGTGTCCTCTTGACTCTGCCTATGCTCTGTCTATATCTAGGTTTGGATTTCCACCTGGCTTTATTCTGCTTAACCATTGGCCCAAACAGCCTAATTTATCTGCCATTAAAAGCAACACATAGAGAAGGACATCACACATAAATTTACCTATGAGATGGTGTGTTTGGCATGGCCTAAGTCTGAATCTCTAGATCTTCTAAGGTAAAGGAGACAATAGCACAATTATCAGGAATATAGAAACATCAGTGTGCTTAAACATAGTTATTAAAGAGAGTAAACAGTGATTTAAAGTTTCAACAGTCTTATGAGGCATTGCTATCTAGTGAAAAACAACTCTTTCAGGCCTTTGGAGTCAGGCATCCTACTGTACAGCAGTGAGTGTTGTCCAAGAGTGCCAGCACCTGGAGCATTGGAGACACTTCTGTGCAGGAATATTTAAGAAGATGAAAGGAGGAAAGAAATTGGGAGAAGACTGGGAATTGGGATTAAATACCAATGACATAGGAATTCCCAGGGATGCAAAGAGGTGCTTTGAGGTGTTGAGGGATTGGTGTTTTCAGGAATCTTAGGCAATAATGTGGGTGCTAGCATCTTGGCTTATGTGATCATCTCCATCTTGGTGCCATGTGATTGCTGCAAACCCAGTGAGGTCAATAACTAAGAAAGTTACAAAGTCACATAGTAATTTTCAGCCTATAGTGAGAGTAGCACCAAGTTAAAATAGGCCTGGCCATAATAGGTCATGGATCCCTGTAGGATCCCCACACCTTACAGTTTAAATGTATGTAGTTAGTGGGTTACTACTTCCAAATCTTAAGTCTCAGTTTACCAACCACTGTCAAGGAATACATTTCTTAGAAGGTTAAAGCACACTTTCAGTCCCAAGTACTAGGATACTGTAAACTGAGGAAAGGTTAAGAAAGAAATTGAGTTGCATTCCCCAGGCATTGACTAATTTAGTTGTTGAATCTTTTTTTTTTTTGTTTGTTTGTTTGTTTGCAAGGACTCAGGGGAATCAATAGATCAATAGTCACCAAGGAAGAGGAATATTCATCAGTTAACTCTGCAAGATCTTGAAGGATGCAAATGAATTGTAAATTTAGGGGTTTAGAAATATTTCCTAGAATCAAGACTGAATCTTGAAGTAGTAATTAAAACTGTAAGGATTTAGCCAAAAATACAAAGAAAGAAAAGTAGGAGGAAATGAGGCACTTGGCTGAGCAAGATGGATCACTCCTGTAATCCCAGAAAGAAAGGAGGGATTGAGAGAGGGAACAAATATGGTGGGAGGGAATGAGAAGACAAATGGGCAGCCTGCATATAGGAAGACAGCATATTCTAGCTCACACACTCAAGACAGAGACTTCTGTTCTTGGAGGCGACCTGAAGAAAGGAGCCTGAGGTGGACCAGGCTGACTTGAAGCATATTTAGCACATACCAAGAAGCTTATTCTTTATCTCTCAAAGGGTAATGGGAGCCATTCATTCAACAGTTGATGGACCTGGACTTCACAGAGTTTATCCTTATTTGTGAAGAAAGAGGGAGTGAGGCAAGACTGGTAGTTTCCATCTGACCCTGTACTCAATATTCACTTTTCTATAATGCCTCTGTATTATCTATTGCTGTGGGAGCTCCTTCTACTCCTTCAGCCAATAGCCATTGAGATACCATATTCCCAAATACTGCTTATAAATGTTCTTTTACATTTAAAGGGAGATATGATATAGGTATGGATAATTTGCATTGGTATGGATTTTGCTTTATTGATATAAATTTAAGGTCAATTTTGTTATATGTATATGTATTTCTGATCTTGATTATGGTATTGTGATTGTGTTGTTCATTTAAAAAATGTAATGTATAATTAGGAGATATAGGTTGTTGATGGAGAATCATTGATAATATTCAAGCTTGTAGTCATGTTAGTTAGATTTTCTAGATATATAGATATATTTCAGTTAGATAGACATTTTTCATATCTTTCAAAGACTACAGGATATGGCATTTAATGTTTTAATAACTTAGGGCTTTTCATGTCTATGAGACATGTCTGCTCTTGGCAGCACCAATCTACTTCAAGAGGAAGATGGGTATCAAAGTTTCTCCTTATGGAGTTGTTTAGCCATTTGGGCAAAAAACTGCTCTTGCCTCGACTGTTTAACTGGTCACAAAAAAAAAAAAAAAAAAAACAAAAAAACACAGAGAAGACTGCTAAACTTGCTTAAAGGTGAGATGATCCTTCAGGGTTCCTGTTTCATAAAAGTGTCTGCTTGACATTCTACAGGATATAAAAAAAGTGAACTGTCTTTAAATTTTCCTGCTTCATAAAAAAATGTCTGCTGGATATTATGGGCCTGTAGGCCAAAATGGATGCCCCAATGGTACAAAAAAAAAAAAAAAAAAAAAAAAAAAAACTTTGGGTGACTGTACGGACAGAGAGATGTCTCTGTCATTTCAAGAGTTTTGGAAGTTGCTTACAATGTACTTCCTGATTACTTAGGTAATATTATATCCTTCTGGAGTCTTTGATAGAGTTAAAGAATGTATAGTTATAGTTTTCCTTTGTTATGATAAAAGATAAAATATAAATATTGCAACTGTAACTCATGCTTGATAACTGTTTTGTTATATGTAATTTAACATGTTAAAGTAAAAGCCTTTCTTTTTTGTTTAAACAGGAAAATGGAAAATGGTGTAGGAGCTTCTTCTGTTTGTGTGTTGCTTTCATTGGTTGAATAAAGAGACTGTCTTGGCCTTTTGATAGGGCAGCCCCTAGATGGGCGGAGTAGACAAAACAGAATGCTGAAAAGAAGAGAAGTGTGGCAGCTGCCATGAATCTTCGGCCTGAGACGGATGTAGGTTAAAATCTTGCTTGTAAGCCACAGTCACGTGGTGATACACAGATTTAATAAAAATGGGTTAATCAAAATGTGAAAGTTAGCCAATAAGAAGCTAGAGCTAATGGGCCAGAGAGTAATTTAATTAATATAATTTCTGTGTCGTTATTTTGGGTGTTAAGCTAGCCGAGCAGCCAGGAGCAGGGTGGAAAGGACAAAAAGCAGGCCCACATCCTCCTTACTACAATCAACTGTTTTATATATGTATAAATATTATATATAAAGTGTTCATGAAGTATCTGTGGGAAGTATCTCCTTAAATAATATTTTTTCTAACAGCTTGGTCTAAATAAGCAAAGGCAACACTATCTTTGAAAATATCCATTTCCTTAGTTTTCTCTTAAGGCTAAATATTTACCTTAGGAAAGAAACTTCATATCAATAATAATTATTCATCAGGTATTAAGATGGAGCAGAGAAAGGTATGTTAAAGTAACAAACATATTTATTTTAATTAAGGACTTTAGTAACAAATTAACTTGAGCCCAATCATTACATGTTGACAAAGCAATGTGAGTATAGCATTGCTCCAGGTTAGAGCAGGGTTTTCCCACTAAGCAATTGTCCCTGCTGTCAGACATTGTAAAGGTCATGCAAACAGGTCCCCACCCCTTCCTTTCACAAAGTGCTGTGTCATTGTGATACCTGATCACAGAAGGACTCACCCTTAGTTTCACTGCTCACAATGCCAGCAAGTGAAAATCACTAGCTACCTAATTCTTGACCTTGAAGCAAAGCTTGTTCAAGGAAAGCTGAAAGTCACTTAGTATTAAATTGTTTTTAATGAGGCAAATGAAAATTCTTATTATAGCAAACGCATACTTAAAAAAACATTTTGAGTATATGAAATCTACAGGAACGCATCCGTTTGAGATCTTAAATCCCAGGCCCATCAGCTCAAACTGTTTACAAGGGGAAGCATACAATAATAAACAACAATTTCACTCTTCTATTATTAAACCCTGGATTTTCTGTCTTTGTAAAGTGCATTCCAGAATCCTAGCTGCTGTTTTGAATGGGATACTACCTATTTGAGTCAGAATTTTGAGCTACTAACAGTTTGGGAACATATTGCTTGCAGTGATGTATCATCATATACAAACACTAAACATAAAATATAATTAAACAGAAAAGACAAAGAAAGTATCTTTCAATAGATTCAGAAAAATGTACTTGATAGAATATGGCATTCTTTAATGATCAAATACCTCAACAAAGTAAGTGTAGAAAATTGTTTCCCAACACATCATACTGTATGGGGAAATGTGGATTCTGTCCTTTAGAAGAAGCACAGGGAGGAAGTTCACTTCCACCTCTCTCAGTCTGTGTCATATTGGAAGTCTTATCCAGAGAATGGACAAGTGAAATAAATTATTGGTTTTGAAGAAAAAAAAGTGGAAGTCAAATTATTTTCATTTGTGAGTAACATGATTTTGTAAAATTAAAAAATAAAGATGTCACACTGACACACACACACACACACACACACACACGCACCAGTATGAAAGAAATTCAATCAAACTACAGAATAAAAAAAATATAAACATCCGTAGCAACTTTATATTATAATGGTCATTCTGAGAAAGAAATCATATTTTTAAGAGTTAGCTGATATCAAACATTTTAGAAGTCATCTGGATTCTAGTCACTTAATTCAGCCATTGACCTGTATAAATGGTCCTGTACTTTAATATCCCTCTGTGTTTAGCAGCGTCAGTAACTAGGCAAATGTTTAACAGTGTGTGAACATTTATCAGATGCACTTTTTTGCTCCCTGGTCAGTACATAAACTCAACAATCTTTACCATAAGGTAATACCACAAGGTAATAATCTATTTTGATATAACCTTTCTAGCATTATTGTTTTATTACTTTGTAATCCCTGGGAAATATTAACCAAAGTTGTCCATTCATTGATTTTCTAATCAAGAGGTAGTATCTAATCAAAGATGATTAACTATTCCTCTCAAAGGTCTTTGAGAAAAGAAGCAACCTGGGTTGGTTTACAATAGGTTCAGAGATGAGATTACAGAGGAACCTGAAAAACAAATCTGTGAATGTTGAAGGCCGCAACATCACTATGATCTGGGTGAAGAAAAGAACTGAAGGAAGCTGGGACTCATCTTCCAAGAACACAACACTGACTCTTTCCATCAAATATTTCATTGTGAGGCTTGTAGACTCTAACAGATCTTTGTGGTTCTATTGCCATAACTGAAAGACTTGTAATAGTTCAGAGCACCATGCTGATCGCGCAGCTGTGACATCCCTTCCCAGAAGTTTGCGTCATTCAATGTGTCAAATGATTTCTTTTAAATACTACTCTGAGATGTTAATCAACCTGACAATTAGTTTCCAAAAAATTTATTTCCAACAAATACTTATAGATATAATGCATAAGGTATATATTTTCATGCCATCTTGAACATAATATATACTTATATATTATGTAATATGTAATATTTAATTTATGATGTTAGGAATTTTTCCTAACATGAGCTCTCTGCTGACAAAAAATCCCAATCAAGCCAAATCAGAAGGCAAATTAATAAATATCCAGGTTTAATGGAATTTCTGCACTCTCAGGTGGCCCCAAGGGGTAAACAGGAGGTCACTAATGTGACTGCCAGGAGAAAAAAAAAAGAGACCATGTGTTTTTCCTTTGGGAGTGGTCCTGATGCCGCCCAGTGAGTGGTCCAGACCTGGCATGCTGGATTTGGAATCCAGACCGATACAACTCTCAGGCCTGTTGGCTACAATAGATGTGAGGGGCTGGGATCTATGCTCCTAACTTAACATTCCAGACTCTTTGGATATAGGGATGACAGGAAATTGAATAATAGCCTCTCTAGGAAAAAGGGGCATTGACTCAAGTCTGGCTACTTCCTGCAGGTATAGGGCAACGTGGGGAAGGGGAGAGCTAAGTGTTGGTGGGTCCATGCTCAGTGAGAGGTGTGGCTGGAAAGGCATCTCTTGTACTTCATCCTGGAGATGTCAGGCATCTGTTCTTTGGGGGAGGTGAGAAGGCAGGTGTCTAGGAAGAAAATATTGTTATTACCAAAGATGAGTGTGCCAGTATGAGGAGCAGGTAGGCCCTTCATTGTGGCATCCTGGAAAATTGGAGGGTGGAATGTCCTGTCTGCTGGACAGACCAAATGTCCTGAGTAGGTGCCCATTTGAGCATGGAAAGATGGTACCAGCATGGGTGTCCTAAGAGCTTGGCAGCTGAGGGGTTCTTGGGGATTACCATGTGAGGTCCTGTTCATCAAGTTTTGAAAGACCTAGGAGTTTACTGTTTGAGGTGTGCTCTGTCCCCTGGGGAGAGCGGGACAGGTTTAGGGGCATTAGGGTCCACTGAGGTGGTGGCAGAGAGACAACTGTCAGTGTGTGAATGGAGAAGGGACCTTAAAAGGGAGAGGTAGGGTAGGTACCCTGCCAGTGGAGGAGTTTGGACTAGGAGGTAATGGTTAAGGAGAAAGGGCCTACAATAAAGCAGGTCAAAAGGGCTCAGGCCATAGGGGAATGTGCGGTGGCCCTGAGGTGAGTAAGGGCAATGGGGAGAAGGGAGGGCCAAGATAACCTGAGTTCAATGGAGAGCTTGGTTAGTTGTTTTTTAATGAGTCTATTGGCCCTCTTCACCTTTCTCAAGGATTGTGGATGGTAGGGGGTGTGGAATTTCCAGGGGATATCGAGAGCTTCTGACATGAGCTTCATGACCCTGAGCTACAACATCTGCTATTTCCCTGGAGACCGGAAATGTTTCTATCCATCCTGGTTGGTGTCCGTCCATGAAGCTGATGTAGAGACTGCCGTATGTGGAGAGCTCCTTGTGGTTTGGCCTGGGCACACGTCTGGCAGGAGGCGTGAACCTGTGTAATAGAATCTCAGAAATGGGTGGGGTCATAAGGGGCTTTAAGCAGTGGAACAAAGCTTTGGCGAAGCAGCTAAGGTTTCTCGACCCAGTAAAGGTGTGGGCAAGCAGGTATCACTAAGAAAGAATGAGAGAAATATTGTCCTGTAAGAATGCAGGGCAATGGCAGAGTTTTAAGTGGGGAGGAACGGGTTCTGCCTACCCCCATAACTGAAATTGGTGACGGGAAGATTGAGTGAGAATAAAAGTAATGAACTTACCCACTACTTGCAGCTTTACCCTAGGCTTGGATAGGGTAACAGAATATACCAAGTCTAGGTAGCATCAATCCTCTGCAAGGCTGAGAAGATTGAGGGCTGGCACAGTTTCAGTTGCCGATGTTGGTGAGGCTGGACCTCTGTGGCATGGCATAGAGGACAAGCCTGCATTGGGGCACTGTGACTTCCAGTGTCCAGGTTGCTGGCAGATAGGGCATAACCTCAGAGGAGGCATAGTGCAGTATCGTGCCACATGACCATATAGGCCACACTTGAAACAGTTTGCCTGTGAGGTTGACTTAGGCTGGGCTCCACCAGGGTAAAGCCTTATGGTTGGCTTCCCTTGTCCCCCTTCCTGTGACCTTAGGGTGGCTGCTAAGGCCTGGGCCTGTAGGTTAGCTGTCTGTTGTAGCCTTGTCTGTCAGGAAGACTCATCTGATTCCTCTCGGGCATTAAAACTTTAAAGGCTATTTACACTAATTCTCGCATAGGGTTTGGGGACCCTCCTCAACCTTTCTTAACTTCAACAGAAAAGGAACCCTTGGATTGGGAAGGAGAGAAATGTGGAGAATGTTGCACCATGGGAGGGGGTTGGGTAGTGTGGGCATGAGGGAGTGGGGGAGGGGCCCTTGCCTCTGGCTGAGTGGTGCTGGGAGACACTGGCTAAGGGAAGGGTGGGAGCACAGAGCCCCAAAACTATGGACATATACAAGCTCTGCCCATTTGTCCTTACAGCGACAAAAATTTTCTAGGTCCCAGGATGCTGCAGGAACACCTTCCACTCCTTCAGCCAATACAAGCTGAAATACCAGTCCACTGGAGCATGGTGTATTTCTCTTGAAAAAAGAGCTGCAAGCCTAGGCTCGCTCTCTTGGTTCCAGCGCTTGGTTCCGGCTCTTGCTCCAGTGACTAGACTCCTTTCCTGACTGTTGGTGTTTTGTAAGTTTTACCCCTAAAATAAATACCCCTTTAAATCCAAACTGGTGTGAGATTGTTTCAGGCATTACCAGAGGATGGTGAGCTCAAGGCTTCCTTCTGGTGGCAATGCGTCCCATTGTCAAGATCATATTGAAGTCAAATCTTAGTGCATAGAGAAATTAGTCATTCGGGAAAGATTATGTGGGACAGGCTCAATTTAAAAAGATTTTGTAAGAGGCATCCTAGGGGTGACAGCGGATTGGCTTTGAACTGCAAGTGCCCATTTAAAAGTCTATGCCCAACCAAGTGGCCTAAGTCTATTAGAGTGTGTCTGCTAAAACAGCTCTTAGGCACAATGGGGTTGTAAAAATTGAATGGTTGGTGTCCCCCAACAAACAAATCCCACCTCAGCAGAGCCTGGTCTTGCCGGTCTGGTTGCTGCTGATCAAACTCTTGGCATGATCTCGTGCTTCAACAAGAATCTAATAATTGACAAAAATAAGTACAAATGGGTCCCCCCAAAACCCTATAGCATAGACAAGAAAAAGGGACTCACCAAGACACAGCTGCTGTAGCCCAGAGCCGGTTTTAGCATGGTGTAGAGAGCTCAGATTGTAGACTGGGGCTTTTGACACATGCTCTACAAGCCATTCAGAAAAGGCTGCCCTACCTGGTGGGGCCTCCAGATGTTAGGAATTTTTCTGAACACAAGCTTTCTGCTGACACAAAAATCCCAATCAAGTCAAATCACAAGCCAAATTAAGAAATATCCAGGTTTAATGGGATTTCTGCACTCTCGGGTGGCTCCAAGGGAAAACCGAAGGCTGCTAATGCGACCACCAAGAGGAAAGAAAAGAGACCATGTGTTTATCCTTTGGGAGCTCACATAAATACTCTGTGGGAGTGGAGTATTTATTCGGGTATGCTGGGATTTAGAGTCCAGACCAATACAACTCTCAGGCCTAGGGGCTAGGATAGATGCGAGGGTCTGGAGTCTATGATGCCAACTTAACAATACAGCATTTGTATTTGAAGAAGAGCTTATGAAATGAAATTGAATTACAGTACATAAAATGCACAGGTACATATTATATTCTACTGCATTTTATTTTTAAAAATGCTGTTCTTAACCCATTAGGCTGATTTTATCTGCTGAAATCAAACTTTTCTTTGATAATTATTTTGATTATTAGGCTACTTGGCTAAAAAAAAAAAAAAAAAAGAACACTCCAAGTGAAAATGAAATGATATCCAGCTAGCTCAGGATAAACTAATAGTCTCTCTACCAAACCAAAGAAAAGAATTGGTTGCAGAGATGAATTACCAATGTGGCACCACATGAGAAGACAATGTGCATGTCTTCTCCATGAGTGAACA